TTCACCTCACAAATTGTTTCTTTTGCTGAGAAGAAACTTTTTAGTTTGAGTCCATCCCATTTATTGATTCTTGATTTTAATTCTTGCACCAAAGGGGTCTTATTAAGAAAGTTGGGCCTAATACCACATAATGGAGATTAGGGCCTAGTTTTTCTTCTATTAGACGCAGAGTCTCTGGTTTTATTCCTAGGTCCTTGATCCATTTTAAATTGAGTTTTGTGCATGGTGAGTGATCGGGGTTTAATTTTATTTTATTGCATATGGATTTCCAGTTTTTCCAGCACCATTTTAAGAGGCTATGTTTTCTTCAATGAATGTTTTAGCACCTTTATCTAATATAAGATAATAGTAATTTTGTGGATTCTATACCTAGAACACCCTAAAAATGCCACCAGAAAACTTCTAGAACTAGTAAATGAATTCAGCAAAGTAGCAGGATAGAAAATCAACACCCATAAATCAAGTGCATTTCTATATATCAGTGGCAAGTCCTCAGAAAGGGAAATAAGGAAAACACACCCCATTTACAATAGCCTTAAAAAATACTTGGAAATCAACTTAACAAAAGAGGTGAAATATCTATATAATGAAAATTACAGAACCCTAAAGAAAGAAGTCAAAGAAGACCTTAGAAGATGAAAGATCTACCTTGCTCTTGGATCAGCAGAATTGATATTTTCAAAATGACCATACTACCAAAAGCACCATACAGATTCAATGCAATTTTGATCAAAATCCCAATGACATTCCTCATAAAAATAGAAAAAGCAGTCATGAAATTCATCTGGAAAAATGAGAGAGCCAGAGTAGCTAAATCAATCCTTTAGCAGGAAGACTGAAGCAGGTGGCATCACTATACCAGACCTTAAACGATACTACAGAGCAATAGTAACAAAAACAGCATGGTGTTGGCATCAAAACAGACTGGTAGACCAATGGTACAAAATAGAGGACACTGAATGGACTTTTGAACAGGTTATCTGGTTATTACTTTTACTTAAATCACTCACTATAAAACTGACATCATAAACCTTAACATATTGCATAAATATCATAAAAATCAGGTTTTTATAAATGTGAATGAAATTCAGGAAATTTATAATTACTAAAACTGATCTACTTTTACATTAGAATATAGACACCTATGCTTCCATGAAAATGAAATTATCCTAATCATGAATGAAGCATGTGTATTAATTTTCATACCTTGAGATGTGTCACTTAAAATTACATTAGGTTAATGCTTTGGCCTTTAGGTGATTAAAGATGAAATAGGCGATTATAATTTTAAAACCTAGTTTCAATGTAAAACGAGATTTCAATCTTATTGTATTATTTAACAGGCAATTCAAATATCTTGCAGTATAATAATTATAATTTATGTTTTGTTAAAAATGATGTATCTTTTGACATTACTGATAGAAGATGTGGAATAATATGAAAGACACAAACATTGAAATTGGCCCATCCTTTTAAGAAAGGTGTTTTGCTAGGGCTCCACTCAGAATCTGTGCTGTTTCGACCACGTAAACAACAGAACACGTTAAGGTCTAATCTACAGTTGCCTTCAGTTGTGATGTCCTGAAGTACTTAAATCAGCTGAAGCCTGGACACACCTGGAAATAAGTTCCTTAAATAACAAAGTTCTTCAGTTTTCTTTCAGGAAAAGAGTTCAGAATCCACTCATGCACTGTTTGGAAACAGCTTTTTAAGAATGGACAGGTACTGAAGAAGCCAGCTCATCTGGTTAAAGACGTTTTGAGGTTACAAGCACATAACTGCCCTCCAATTATGCAACCTGTGAAGAGGCATGATGACCATCTATGCCTGCACAAAATAACCCTAAAACTTGCCAGCCAATTAACAAGCAACTTCTCCCCTTTCCCTTCCTATAAATCCCACCCATTACTAAACAAAGGAGGAAGCAAATTTGAGCTTCTAGCTTCTGGTCTTTTTAATGACCATATGAAAAAGCATTTTCTTTTTGCAAAGCCTAGTGCTATAGTATTGACTGCCAAGCATGTCAGGCAGAGAAATATTAATAACTTAGGAAAGCAACTTTGTAACACAAATCTAACTTGTCCTTTTTCCCTCCAATTAAACCAGAAAGCTCTGTCTCTAAATATTATATGCTGAATATTGTACAACTCACTTTTAATGGTAATGGTACAGAAATATCTTAAGAAATTTGGACTAACATTTTTATTTTGCATGTAATAGCATATTTTTAGTACTTCACTATAATTACATATAATAGTGGGATTCATTATGCCATACTTGTGCATGCACGTGACATATTTGATCAAACTCATTCCCCAGTATTTTTCCTTTCCTCTCCTCCCTCCACAATCTGCTTGCTCTACTCTAATCTCCCACCTATTATTATTATTTTTTTAATTAGTGCATTATAATTATATATGTGATATATTCATACGTGGACATATTTTAGTAGACTTCATTCTCTAGTACTTCCCAGAGCCCTCCCCTCCTCCCTCTCTCTCAGTTCCCGTCCTCTATTCTACAATAGTGTATTTCTAGCATTAATAATATATTTGAGGGCATAGATGATTTGATCTCGCCATCTCATTACACAATATGCCAAGACTAGAAAATCTCCATTTTTTTTCTTGAATTCTAAGGAATGGAATTATTAAACCAGAATCATTTTTGCCCTTGAATTATTCAAGGTGCAAATCAGAAAAAAAATAAACGTCATGGTGATAGGCGTGGATTAGAAAATACCATCTCTCAAAGCATTTAGAGCATTAAAGTGATTTCAAAACTATGTGTCTTGACATCTTGAAGATTTATTTTTTGCTTAATTGTATTCTCTCTCTCTCTCTCTCTCTCTTTCTCTCTTAATATACTGGGGATTGGATTGTACAACACTCTATCACTGAATTACATCCCCAGCCCTTTGTATTTTTTATTTTAAGACAGGGTCTCACTACATTGCTGGGTCTGGCCTTGAACTTGCAATCCAACTGCCTCAGTCTCTTGAGTCACTGGGATTTCAAGCATGCACTACTGTGTCCTGCTTGTCTATTTTTTTTTCATAAAGTAAACATATACATATGTTTTAGAAGTCCATAGTACAGAAGTCTTATGATGAAAATTAACAGTTCTATTTTCCACTTGTGCTCACCTGGATCCTTCCCCCAGGTGTAGCATTTCTTTTCTGTTTTCTAGTTCTAGTCACTTTCTCTGGGAAGGTATATAAAGATACTTTATTACTTTTGCATCCAAGGATGAATCTCATACTTCTTTTGTCTAAACAAAACAATGGCTACTTTATTCTGAATTTTTAATTTTTATTTATTTTATTTCATTTTTGGTTGCTTAAGGCTTACAACAATTCTTGAATATGTCAAGAAACAGGGGTGACTAGATGTTAAATTATATGAATGTGATTTCTTTTGAAAAGAAATTACCTCCAGATAACAAAAAAATCCCAATTAGAATATCCCCTGGAAGCAGGAAATGTGTTAGTAGTCCTCTGCAAAGAGGGTGAATTTTTTTCAGACATTTACTCAACTCCCATAATGACTACACGAAGGGAAGCACTGGCATGAGTGGCACACGAACATCTCCCAGCGTGGCCTCTCTTCTCACAGCCTGGTTTCCTCATGTCAGTGGCACACAGTCCTGCATCTCTGATCTCTTCTTTTATCTTCCTCACCCCTCCACGGTTACACCATTATGCTTATTCTTCTTTCCCTTATTTTCAGGGAGTTTCTCTTAGTCTTAAGGGCGGGAAACACCATTTTCACACATTTCCTCCTTTCAAACATGCAACCCCACATAGTCCCTGCATTTTAGAGAAGCAAAAAAATGCTGGAGTATTTATATGTCAGGTCTGGAGAATTCCTTTGTGCGAGTACAGGAAAGATGTTAGCACAGGAGGGGAAAAGAAAGCCCCAGACTAAGAGGTGCCAAAGTACAAATTTCCTATGGATTTGAGAAGGGGCAATGATAACTTTTGCTTTGAGTTCATATGAGTGGCAGAGGTGTTTGATTTTACATATACAATTTGATGCATTACTTCTCACTAACCACATGGATACAACTTACCAGTTCTCAAGAATATAGCACAAAGGACTGAATTGTCAAATTAGACTCATAAGAGTCACCACAGATTTCACCTAATATCCAACTTTATTAATAATTTCAGGGATACAGTAATTGTCAGGTAAGGACAGAGCAGTAAGTTGTCTGGTCTGCCAATGGGCTAACTTTGGCCCTTGCTTTCTGCTTTAGGAAACACTCTGACCAGACTAACAGATAACATGAGATCACAAAATAATGGATGGCTTTATTATTTACACAAAAATAGATGCTTTGGTCATGACACATCCTCTTTGGTCACTCAGATGGTTCTGTAACTTTTATGTCATTTTCTAGGAAACCTTGTTCCATCAACTCATAGATTATATACTAACTTTTTTTAAAAAAATAAACAATTTAGACAGGCAATACTTGTTGCTAAAAACATGTCACAGATAAGGATTTTGCTAAGAAAAATCTACTAGTTTTTGATAACAAGCTTATCATTAGCAAGTTTACAAAAAGCTGTTTCCAGGTCAGGATCCTTTCTTTATTTCTCAGGAAGACCTTCCTACCTCTGAAAAGGAGAGTGGACAGCAGACTGGTGACAGCAATTTTCTTTCCACTCAGAGCATGCACATATTTGTCAGAAGTAGTGAGACCAAAATAAATTCCCATTTGGATCTATTGAAACATGGACTGCTAGAATGTTGTGCAACATTTTAGTTATAAAATGTTGAGAAAAGATTTCACCATTCATATATTAAATGGACATAGTTTTCTTTTCGCCAGGTCTTTGCTCGAGTTTGAAAGATGTTTGAGTTATTGAAGTCATCATTTGCTTTAAACAAGGGCACTGGAAATTATGGGGAGGAAGGGTGTGGTTACTTGCAGTGGACACCAGAGGAGGGGAGGAGCTGCAAAGGGAGATGCATCTTTGAAAAGAAGACATAACTTTTCAAAAATAAATTTAGCTCTAGTGCAGCTGAACTTTCTGTGAAGTTTCAGTTTGGGATCTTTCTGCAACAGACTCACAAACGTTTTGAGTGCAAAGTTTATTTGGTATGTATATCAAGTAAAGGTAGGAAACAGACTGTTAATTCAGGAAGGGGAAGGCAGAACAAAATAAATGTTCTCTTACTCTCCATCTAGCTACTTGGAGGAAACTGGAGTTGACACTGTTGAGGGATTCTGGGAAATGGGATAAAGAACAGTTTTCAAAACTTCTTTGCTTAGGGCTAGTGTTGTCTGGACTATAACAAATCTGGAGATTGACTGATTGAGGTTCACCCTGGTGATAACTATTCAGCACTTCTAGACTGCCATGTGTGAGAGCAGCAAGGCTTTCAGTGGGTTTAAGAGGGGGGAAAAAACACATTTCATAGAAACAGAGATGCTGATACTATTGTTCCAGAGTTCCCCAAATATTCCAAGGGATATGGGCAGGACAATGAAAAATTCTGCTGCAAATAGAGATGTGTGGTAGGGATCCTATGGCATGAAATAATTTACTGTCTAGATACAAAAAGGAATCAAAGGATCAACCAGGACTGACAATTTAGGAAGAATTAACTGTGTGCTTACTGGTATGTATTCAGTTTTCTTATTTGTGTCTTGGGCCTATTGTTCTTGAATCAAACATGTCTTTACCGGATTTTTACTTCTGAGTCAGTGAACTAAGATGAAAAGGAAAAAAAAAAGTCACTAGTACGAGTCTCACAAAGACAGTCTCACCAATTGGTCTGAAATTTTTCTAAAGGTGGTTCTGTTAGTGTTGAAGTTTAGTGTGATCTCTACTTCAGTCCTGTTACAAATTGGTACCATTTAAATCAAAATCTGAAAGCAAAATCCTAAACTATTTTGTAGTTAAGGCAATTTTACATGAGATTAAAAAAATGAGCAAAATCAGACAACTTTATGCTAGTTCAGCTTTGTCTTGCTCCCATCCTGAAAAAGAATAGAGATCAAGTGATTAAAGGATCATTTATAAATCACTTCTTTCCATTAGGATGTGCATAAAATCTGAATGGAGGAATTTTCATGACTATGTTCTCTGGTAATGATTTATATTTTAGCAATTCTAGTGGTTCTGTGAAATCAGCTATATGCACACAATGCAAATTAAACAGATGAAACTTTTAACTTCATGGCTAAACTTCTGACTTCATGGAAATGAAAATCAAATCACAACCTTTATTTTGGCATTTGTATTATTTTTCTTTTGGGGTTGAAAATCTCTTATAATAAAACAAATGTATAGCAAATTATATTGCTTAAAAATATATATAAAACACAAAAAGCTGACATGGGAGTCTTATTTTGTGTGGGGATGAATGGTAGTGGGTGTCTCCATAGACCCAAATCCCTGCTCTCGAGCGAGACTCTTATTCTGCCACACCTGTTTCATAATTGGTTACTCATGAATAAGGTTACTCTTTTGGGGGTGGGGTACCAGGGATTGAACTCAGGAGCACTCGACCACCGAGCCACATCCCCAGCCTTATTTTATATTTTATTTAGAGACAGGGTCTCACTGAGTTGCTTAGCGACTCGC